ACTGAGAACACATAAGGGATTGACTGAGGAAAGATCACAATGCCTAGTTCGTGTATCTTTCACCTTTTACTTAGCTCTGGGAAAAACTTCCAAATCTATGGGATTGTCTAAATGGGGTACTTTTTTTTTTTTTTAGCAGTGTAATTATAATTATATGTATATAGTTAAACCAACATAGGTATGCTGTTATAACTCTTCTATGCATACATTTTTATTCATCCTGTTTTTTCCAGTGCATCTTAAATCACTTCCAAGGTTCCATAACCTAAACCAGAAAAGGGCTATTTAATACAGAAATAAGAGTGTCCACACATCCAGTGTTATAGTGGTATAAATATTGTGCTTTAATTAACACCTTATCATTTTAACTACATCTTTCCCCTATAGACAGGCCTTAATAGAGTTAGGGAATAAGTCAAAAACATGGATCCAAGCTCTTCTGATCATCAAAGATAGATGAAAAGAATCTAATCCAAGTCCCCCTGTTGCCCACACCAGATCCAAACACAAACTGAGAAATTTTTGAAAGCCAGACTTGAACTTTATGGTACTGGCATATCAAACCTCAGTGCTTCACCAGAAACTAGTACACCCACAACCTCCTCTTACTGAGATCATCTTATGTGACAACAGGAAATGCCAAAAGAGAGGCAGAGATATGAAGTAACATAACGAATACAAAGAAATAATCAATTAGAAGTTAAAGTATGATAGAAAGAGCACATACAGACAAAAGTATAACGTTCAGAGAGTATACCTGCCAGCAAACATGGTTTCAGCCTGAGCTGCAATTTCATCTATGTCAGGAACAATAGCTGCAAAGAACCACAGGGACCATAATTTAGTTTGTGCAGATAAAGAAACTGTTTTTCCTCTTTCAGTACATGCTGCAAACTAATGGCCTAACTATGAACTTCTCAGTCTGGAGAAACTTCCTCTGAATCAGTTATTGGCTCTTCTTCCAGAATGAGGAGGGCCCTAATTATCTGTTATTTGTATTTCAGCAGTACCAGCCCCAGTCCTGGACCAGGTGCTTGTTGGTGTACAGACACAGAACAAAAATTATTACTCCCTTAAAATGTTAATCTTCCACATCTACTTTGGCAGAAATAACCACCCAAGTAAAAAAAAAAATTATGCCAAAATGTGGAAGCATTATTCTTGCAGAAAAATATTTATCCAGGTAATTATTTTGCTTGCAGTTTGTTTATCATTCCTGACTCATGAGGATTCTTTTTGCATCCACACACCATTAACTCCTCATACAGATCACTAGCTGACATCTCCCTAAGCTTTAAACACCAATTCATTACTGTACCACCCTTACCTCATTTGCCTCCCAAGGACTTGGGTTCTTGTGCTAGGCATGCGAGACAAGAAAAAGGAAAAAAAAAAAACCCAGTGTGAAAATGTGGCCATCTCCACCCCATCCTCCAGAGTCTGCTCTCATCCTCATTTGTTATGCCACCTCTGATAGCTTTGAGAATGGTATAAATAAATAAACTCTCATCATCATAAGAACAAATAATTATATTTAATTAAAGGAGAGAAGGGTAGTAAAGATGCCCCTTACATTATCCAATCTCCCACAAGCTTTCATCTTGTAGTAATTTGAATTTTTCTGGAACTGTTCAGTTTATTGCTTATTAAAAGGACAGTTATTTTAAATTGCAAAACAATAGCAACAGTTACCTGAAACAATCCCTGGTGAGTCTGGGGGAGAGACTGAGGAGCTATCAACATTTTCACTGTTTTCTCCAAACTCTCTCTTGTAGACAGACAGCATGTAGGATATTCTATAGTCCAGTCTAACACTAAGGATAAACTACAAGACAAGAATTTAAAATAAGATGATCTTCCCTTTTATTTGACAGCCTATTTGCATATGTCCAGTGGGAGGAAGTCATTTGTTTCAAGTGGTGTAAAGCATACTTGTCCATTTGATAAACAATATTGGTAAACCGGTGATTTCTTTCTCAGGACTGGTTCCCCATCCCATCCTGAGACATTTCAGCTTCCACTAAATACCACAACAGTTCAAATTTGTCCAGGAACTCTGGGAATTCACCCTAAACCTGTTATCCCTGAACCAGGTGGGTCCTTCTAAAGCTTCATCAGAACATTAAGCTAAAATTTTCCTTAAATTTGGCTCTTAAAGCCCCTGGGTGGTAGGGAAAGGAAGTTATGCTGAGAATGGGGAACAGAGCTTCAAGACCCTTCACAATAATGGCCCATGACATTCCAGGTTGAACCTAGGCAAGCTGACAACTGTAGAGAGAAAGAGGGGTCACAAGAGATTCAGTTTCCACTTAGGGCAGAAATAGCATTTGCTCGAGTAGCCAGCAAAAGATTGACGATTGTGGGGACTACTCGGGGTGTTATAGTGGTTCATCTCTCATGTGTCCTCCTTACAGCTGTTATAGCAACAGTAACAGAGTTGCCTCTGAAGACTGGATTCCATTCTAAATGTTGGATATTTACTCCTGAGCTATGGACAATTTGGAACTTGTAAGGGCAAGGCAATGAATCAAACTTAGAGAGTTCTGCTTATCTGTTAAAATACCAAGGGTCATATTCTGGTTTCAGAGACGTAAATACCTATCTAGTTGAAGTCATACAAGCTTTACAAATCCAAATAACATTTTAGTTCTTAAAATCTCATGTTACAAAGAAATGTGAAAAGGAGACTCTGTTCATCCTTCTCTTTAGTGTAACTGGGAAAGCTGTGCCATAAAAAACACAATAAAAAGAATCAGATTAATAAATTATTTATTTTCTTCAAAAACAAACTAACAAAAGAAAGAAGAGGGATTCCTCATTTTGGCTACAGTGCCCAAGTTGCATGTATTTGCAAAAATAAAATTTAAGAAATTCATATCTTAAGTCCATGTTATCTACCAAATAATGTCATTCATCTGTGTTACTGTACTTTAAAGAAACCTTGGTAAGGACGAAGGAATGAACCATCCCAATGCAAAGGAAGGCTAGCAAGTATGGCAGAAGACCAGCTTGGCTAAGCAGGGAATTCTTCAATGAGCCAAAATACAAAAATGGAGCTTATGAGAAATGGAAACGTGGACAAACTACTAGGGAGGAGTATAAAAGTATTGCTTGCGTATGAAGGGATGAAATCAGAAAAGCCAAAGCCCAACTGGAGTTGCAGCTAGCAAGGGACATGAAAGGTAACAAGAAGAGTTTCTACAACTATGTCAGCAACAAGAGAAAGATAAGAGAAAGTCTGGGTCCCTTACTGAATGGGGGAGGCAACCTAGTGACAGATGATGTGGAAAAAGCTAAAGTACTCAATGTCTTTTTTTTACCTCAGTCTTCACAGGTAAGGTCAGCTCCTAAACTACGGAACCTGGCAGCACAATTTGGGGAGGAGGGCAGCAGCCAACAGTGGCAAAAGAACAGGCTAGGGACTATTTAGAAAAACTGGATGTGTACAAGTCCATGGGGCCAGACACATGGTACCCAAGGGTGCTAAGGGAGTTGGTCAATGTGACTGGCCTTAATCTTCGAAAACTTGGGAGATCTCCCAGGGAACTGGAAAAGGACAAAAATATTGCCCATCTTCATGAAAGGAAAGAAGAAAGATCTGGGGAACTGCAGACCTGTTGGCCTCACTTCAGTCCTTGGAAAAATCATGGAGCAGGTCCTCAAGGAATCCATCTTTAAGCACTTGGAGAAGAAGGTGTTTAGGAACAGTCAACCTGGATACACCAAGGGCAAGGGCTGGGATGGAGTGCCACCACTTAACACCCCAAGTTGCTGCTGTTCTGCCTCCTGCAGGGAGCATGGGGGGTGGCGGACGGCCAGCACTGCTTCGGAATCATGGTGGCGCTCCCCCACACTTACAGCATTCTGATTGGCTATTTCTGTCAGCTAATCAGAGCATGAATAAAGCATTATGGACAGACAGACGGACAGACTTAGTCTTTTATAATATTAGAATGACTGGTTCTGTGGATGCAGGAAGAGCAGTGGATGTGATGTACCTTGACTTTAGCAAGGCTTTTGATATGATCTCCCACAATAGTCTCGCAAGCAAGCTACGGAAGTACAGGTTGGATGAATGGACTGTAAGGTGAGCAGAAAACTGGCGAGATCATCAGGCTCAAAGGGTAGCAATCAATGGCTTGATGTCTAGTTGGTAACCAGTGTCAAGTGGAGTGCACGGTTTTGTTCAATATCTTCATTAACAATCTAAAAGATGGGATGAAGTGCACCCTCAGCAAGTTTGCAGAAAACACCAGGCTGGGGGAAGTGTAAATATGCTGGAGGGTAGGGCTAGGATTCAAATCAACAAACTGGAGGATTGGACCAAAAGAAATCTCATGAAGTTCAATAAGGAAAAGTGCAAATCCCTGCACTTAGGGCAGAACAAGTCCATGCATGGGTACAGACCGGGAGACCGACTGGCTAAGCAGCAGTTCTGCAGGAAAGGACCTGGGGGTTACTGTGGACAGTAAGCTGAATATTAGCCAATAGATATTCCTAGATATTAGGAAAAACTTGCTCACTAGGAGGGTAGTAAAGCACTGAAACAGGTTAGCTAGAGAGGTGGTGAAATCTCCATCTTTAGAGGTTTTTAAAACCCAAGCAGACAAAGCTTTGGCTGAGATGACATAGTTGGGGATGACCCTACTTTGAGCAGGGGGGTGAACTAGATGACCTCCTGAGATCCCTTCCAACCCTAATTTTC